ATTTCCTGTAAAGATGAAAAAGCTGCTGGACGTACTATCATTTTCAGGTAGCCTAACCATAGCGCTCTTGAAGTCTGAATCTATATCACAATTGGAAGAAGACATGAGGGCGATGAAAGAGACAATTCGGAAACGGCACAATGTCAATTATACAGACCTGTATGGGGACTTCAGTGAAACCCCGAGAACTTCCACCTGTTTACCCAATTGTTTGAGTAATCAGCCCTCAGTCCACTAACATTAGGGTTAAGAAAACTCTGTTAATCTAAAATTGAACTTCTGTTTTTTTAAGCTTATGCAAATGAGCTTTGACAAATAAAATACACAAATTATATTAAATAAACCATGACTTTGGTTTACATTTGGCTCACTGTCATCTTTCACATGTTGGCCTAATACTGAATTTGATCAATGGATTCAAATTATTCACTTATCTATTTCTATCTATCCCAAGTAACATTGAAAATTTTATGGAGGTTTTAAAGCATGCTACAAGTCTAAATCATGGTCTAGATAACCCCTATAAAACCGAAATTGTTGCTTGGGATTTATGTATTACCTATCTACCCTTATTTTGATCGAAACAAATTTTCAATAAAAATATTTATTACAAATCTATTTCGATGCAAATAGGAAATAGGAGTGAATATCATAATGAAACTTGTTCAGAAAAGTGTGTTTGCTCAAATACTATCTCAAATATAGCTACTTAAACAAGAGAGACGGGTACTTCAGGTTGAGAATCAGTGCAGCTGGAAAGCAGATTGTTTTTAAATTTTCTCTTATGTCAGAAAAAAAGACACATTCTCATAAACGGAAACTCATAATTGACCTTTCCTCTGAAGTTGTAAATCTCTCCTTTTGTACGATTTATTCACTAAATACTTTAACGCTCGCAATGCACAAAATCCAATCTGATACATAAAATCCCTGACATTGAGTAAACAAACATCAGTAATTTGTCTAGCAACCAGGTAAGCAATCTAGTACTAGGTATTTCTTAAGTATTTTTAAGTATTTATAGGTATCTAAGATATCAGCTAGAAATTTATAAGTACATCGTAAGAAATACAAAGTTTAGAGTGGGATTCCCCTAGGGACAAGCCTTATTTTAGCTTAACACTACTTCACAAATCAACAATGCGTTACACATATTTTGATAGCCTGATTTGTTAAATGTCGTCAGTGCACGTGTCACTCGTTGCATTTCTGGCATTTTGGTTCTTCTAAATTCACTGCCTACCTTTCTAATCCCAAGCAGCGGCAGCAGTAAAGGCAAGGTAGAGGAGCTTTTTAGGAATAGCTCCAGGTAGAAGTGGGCTGCGATGACGTCGAAAGCATTAACATTTGTATTGCTGTGTTTTGACTGCAACATTGCTCTGCATTTTCAGACAGGATTCCAAAAATATAACTCAATTATGGCACTAAAGTAGCTTCCACATGACGATCTAAATAAATCGGGCACTTGTGTCCACATTGTATTAACTGCACTTGAAAATGAGAGAAATGTTTTACTGTCGCCAGTTGTTGTTTACAATTCTGCATTGCTGTATAATACTCTTCCGGTTGCTGTTATTCAACTTAAATTTGACGTGCTTCAAATTAATGATCATACCTTTTGCTACACATATTCTTAAGTGGAACAGTAGGTATGGTTGACGCCTGTGAATCAACGACTGCTGGTTCGAATCCCGAAAAGCAAAGAAAGTTTTAAGACTTATAATAACAATATAAGCTGAACAGAGATTAACGTTGTCTATGTACAACAATTATTCGAACTAAGGCTGAATTAAAATTGATTAAACAACACTTGTTAAGCTTAAATTGTTACCTGCGTATCACATTAAAACATATGAAAACATAGTAGTAGTTCTCTACCCTAATCTGCCTTGAAATCTAATTCTAGTATTAAATTTGTGATGATGGCTATGTCCTTTGAGGTTTATTATCCAGGCTAGACACAGTATCAAATTTGCATCTGTATCTTCACGATAATGTCAATTGTAATCTTCATTGCTCGGCTGTATGCACTCAACGCATAACATGAGTCTCGAGGTTCTGGCAGGAGCAGTGTTGGGAAAATAACAAAAAATCAAAGCTCACCAACGCCCGAGATCACGCTTGATTTTCGTAGACAAAAATCAACAAGCAAACAACTGCGGTTGATTTTGCAAGCTGTGATATCGCAACTCGGAATGTCAAGCTAACAAAACTCTCCAACTGGAAATCTAACCAAACTGTGGTGAGATTGAGTTTAATGATTTTTGCTTTACACTTGAATGAAACCGAAACTTTCAAAACGGCTTGCAGCAGTCCCTTCGCGTCTGCCATCGGTGAAGATTAAAAAGAGATAGCAAACTATGCTTTCTCTTTCTAAGAAAACGATGTTCAATGGAATCACTTTTATGTCAGGTCAACTCTCAGCTTGATTTTTGCACGTTGTGAATAGTCTCGCAATATCAAAGGAGCTTGTAAAATCAATATCAAGCATGATATTTTGTTCCAATATTACGCGTGATATTGCGAGCGCATTTAATCGGAAAAATATCAATTGATTTCTGATTTTGCCAACACTGGGCAGGAGTAACACCCCTCCAGAATCGTTTCTTGGAGCTCTCTCTCTCAGAATACTTATCAAATGCGGAGTGACAAACACACTTATAATTGCAAATTTTGAAGAAATTCTTTGGCTGAACACACAATCTCGATTTATGAGAATCTACCTCCACTACATATCTTTAGATATATGTCTTCCTTGTTATACTCCAGACCGTGCTCACTTCACCATTAGCAGTTCCTCAATTAAATATGATCTGACCATGAAACAAGCAACTCATGGGATTCCCGATCAACTTTAGCATAGACCTATTACTATCCCGCTTATTTTTACTGAAAAGTACCAACACTTCAATTGCGTGAACAGATATTTTACAGATGGGTCTCGTCTCAGTTGATCCACTGGCTTCGATGTCTTCAATGAAAACTCTAGCGCCTTCCGTAAACTCCAGGAACCTTGTTCCGTTTTTGTTGCTGAGCTGGCAGTAATCAACTTCGCATTGGGGATGATCTCCAACATGCCCGCAGACCATTAGGGTTAACTACCCCATTTCCGGCCTATTAAGCACAGCTCGCACTTAGTCTTTCTTAATCTAGCGCAGTTTAGCACCAAACGGAATGTTATTATTACTGATGGCTTCCAAATTTATTTACCTTTCCGTACGTACCGTAAGATTTGATAAAGAGATACCAATCGTTGAGATATTGTCAAAAGTCTAACACTGCTTCTTGACGCCAAACTCGGCCTACGGATTCTAAACTCGGCCTAACGCATCAAAACGCGATTGAAACGCCAATGAATTCACTTCGGCCTATCGGATGAAGATAAAAATTGATTCGGTCGGAGCGCTTCTTTTGTTTTTGGGAATAATGGGTGCAAACCTTCATATCACGCGTTCTCATTGACTTCGTTCGGTAGCTTATTAACTAAAGTATCGTACCAAACGCATAATTGACTTGTTAACTCTGAAATCATGGATTTATATGAAGTTGTCTGCTCGATAGGCCCAAAATGGGCGATTAGGCCGAAGTAGTTCTCTACCCTATTTCATCTTCTCGGATAGTTTCAGTTCAATCGAGGCTATTCGGTAGATGAAACCAAGTAGGCACTCATCTTATTTCCTTTCAAAGGTAAGGGAGCAGATGAGTGTGCTGGTCGAAAGATCATATATGATTACCTTTGTATGGGTCCCCTCACATTGCTCAATCCCAGGCAATGAGAAGGCGGACTCTCTCGCAAAGGTGGGCACGCAGGCAAATTTCACACGATGAATTTTACCATTTAATGCGTCAGAGTACCCTTACAAACCGATTGGGACAATGGAAATCTTGGACGGTGGTTACATACAATTATTCCTAATGTTTCTTCGAGAGCGTGGTTTAAAGGCTTGAACTTAAGTCGTGACTGAGTAGACTTATGTCCAACCACTACTCGCTAGATGCTCATCTCAATAGAATAAACATCGTGGACAGCAACATCTGTCGGTGTGGAAACGGTTACGATGACATCGATCACGCCGCAAGAGAGCGACTTTTGAATACCCTCGAAGCCTAACGAAGACAACCCTATGTTGCTATCAGAGACGTGTTGGGAACTAGCGATATCTGCTATATGCAGTCGGTTTATGTGTTTCTTCAAATGTCTTGTATAAGAACATTATTCCTTTGTCTTTTGTCTCTCTTTATTAGTTTTTGTTTGTCTTGTCCCCGCGCCTCGATGAGTCTCATTGTCGCCCACTGGTCACCCACCATAGCCGGTCGAAACTACAACCGAACTACCGTTCATACTGGCGGCAACGCTCTGATGAGACAACGAAACCTTATCCCCAAGCTCCACCCCTGATCCTATCCTTCGACAATGTACCTCTCTAACCTCGAGTAAGCCGCGAGTATTCGGCCCAACTCCTACTAGACATAGAATTAAGTGAATATTATTACAAACAAAGAACAATGAACTATCGGCTCCGTAAAGCTAACGCTATTGAGCCTTCCAAATAAATGAACTAGTTAAAAAAAACTTTATAGGGAAGCTACCAGCATCTCCTTGAAAATATAAAATCTCATTTTTGCTATCAAACTACTTTGTTGCGATTTCACTATCTCTTGGTCTGAGGAACCCAACCTTTATTCAAAATAAAACAATAAATTCCTCACCCCATTTCACTTGATTTCAGCAAGCTTTCACTAGCAGCATCGCTCCACAGCTTCACACAGGGAGATAGAGAGAGAGAGAGAGAGACGAAGCGGGATCGAGCAACACCCCATTATTGTTTGCAAACACTCAACGCGATAACAACTCGATCCCATCCAGGGCGTCCCGCATGAGCCAGTCAAGTGCACAAAAGCCGGCGATCAGATTATGTTGATAAGTGAATGTTGAGCTTCTCATCTTCAACGTATTGGACCGATTGAGAGCGCAAACACGGCTGGACATTTAGTTTCAATTGAGCTCCCACCGCGAACAGGCCCCCCCATTGGTCTCTTCTGACTGTATCATTCAATCATGGCTGGCGCACTATCGATGTTCCAGAAGCTTCTCTTCGTCGGCTCGCTACTAGTGGGAACCTCTTTGGAGTCTGCCATACCGTGCGATGACTCGGAAGCTGAGGTAGGGACTTTGGTCAGTGCAAAATGGGAACCCCGAACTCCGGAGCAAACTCTGTACGCATACGTCCGCTGTCTCAATGACTCATCGGCCAGCATAGAACAGAAGATCAACTGGGTCAAGTGGCACCCGGATACCACCTACGAGAGTCAATGCTACGTGAAGTGTGTCAGTGAAGAATTGCGGCTGTATGATCCAAAGGAGAAACGCTTTCTACCGGAGAGGTTCGTACAGCAGGCGGAATCGTTCTTCTACGCGGACCCGGAACAGCTGCAAACCTTGAGGACGAACGCTGAACCCATGTTGGCTGGGGCTTTGGAGGACAATTCATGTGAATCGGTGTTCAACAAGTACGATACGTTCTACACAACCCACCACAATACGATCCTGAGGATGTTCCACGGAGACTACAGGGACATCGGAACGACCTATGCAACGCTCGGAGACCGGGTCAAGCAGATCGGCCAAATGTATGTGGATTACTGCGAAAAACGTACCGGAGCCAAGTGGGACGAAAAGCACAGCTGCCCCTCGGCCGCTCTGTTGGATTGCATTTTCCGTGGATTCCGCTGGATTACGGAGGAAGGTGCCGTCAATGTAAGCCAAAGAGGATTAACAAAAATTGCATACCGCTTAAGCTAATCTATGGCGTTTTTTTTCTAGGTCAACGAAATTCGCCGCGATTACGATGCGGCCGGGCAGGGTAGTGATAAGGCGGACCACTGTGATTCAGCGACGGGGGGTGCACGTAGCCTCTATAATTGTCTGCGCGATAAGGGAGCTGACGAGTTGGTCCTGGTGATGCTAGAGCGAAATCAGAAGACGGCATTTTACTTTGATCTGACGTCTAAAGAGGAACCGTGGAAGTCGGCCGTTGAATTTGCCACCAATCTGTAGGTTGGTGTTAGAAAAGTGATTGCAAAATAAGGTAACTTCTTCGGTTAGTGCAAATCACTGTTGTTTGTAAGATTTCCACTGAATTCGTATTCAGAAACATATGAGACTAATAAATATATGGAATTTTATTGTGTTGATTTCGAGCTTTGCTCATGCGTTGGAATGCTCAAACGGTTAGGGCTTCTTTTATTAAGCATATACCTTCTCAATGCAAGACAAGTTGTGTACGGAGCACGGTATGCAACGAAAGTATTAGGATAGTTTGATAATGAAATACGCTTTTTATTCATGAATCTTAAATTTATTTTTTCATGTCCAAAAGAGTGAAACAAAATTTGAAGTTTTTGCTCCAGACGTCATTTTGATCAGAAATTACGTCTATAGCCCCCCGCTATCCTATGATTAATATAACCTCTTGTAGAATTGTTACTACAATTACTTATTTTCCTTTCACATCAAAATTGATCGCTTATTGGCTTATTTAAAAGTTGGGAAATAAATTTATCCCCTCTAGTAGTTTCCTTATGTCGTTTTAGTTTGATGAACCAGGTTCGAATCTGGAATAGTTTCTTCAAAATATCACTCTCGCGGTGAACTGGGTGAACTGAAATGTTGTGTACATGAGTATGTGTGACTTAAAATAGAAAAGTCAAAAAGGCAATGAAAACTAGCTGCCAAGCGATTGCTCAACAGCAGTTTTCAATTCAATATTTTCAGACTGGCTGATTCTTTGTTGTTTACCTTTTTGACATTTCACCATAATAATTTCACCATTGAATGTATGCCTGAAACTGATGAAAATCGAAAAAAAATCGGGTTCGAACCTAGTCGTTCTTCAGGTTGCTTGGTGGCGAATCTAGGTTGGCAACTGGCGTTCAAACTATCAGTTTGACAGCTCTTAGGTTGCAACCCAAATGTGGGTTCGTTTCAAACTAAAACGGCATTAGTTCTTCATCCTCCTCCTCCTCCTCTTCTTCTTCTTCTTCTTCTTCTTCTTCTTCTTCGCATTTCAAGCTTATTGCTTATCGCATATTCTCAAATAAGTGTTCAAGACTCACTTCCACAGAGCTTTCGATGCTTGGTACCATGCTTGGCATGCACAGATGTACACACCAACTGCTCATTTGTTAATAACTTTTCACTCAGTTCTTGAAATTTGTTTTTCTTTAAAGTAATTGATAGATTAAGATCATAGTTTACTATAGATATGCAAAGAATAGGTAAATCTTAACATTGGAATCAACACCAATGAATGTGTACACCTAAAATCTGAAATGTGAAGCGAGCATTTCTCACTTCATTTTTACAACGCAAAAACAAATACAGTTTATTACTAGAATTAAAATCTACCTTTTCTTACGTACCAATAACAAGATTAAACTTTATTATATCTACTGCTGCAAACAGAAGTACGTTTTGACAACTGTGTGCAAAGTTATTAGCAAATGAGCAGTTTGTGACCAAAACTGTGTACGCCAAGCATGCTTGGTACCTTTTTTGTATTAGTATAATTGTGTGGCCAGGGAAGTCGACAAATTTTCGAACTTAAAAAATACATAGACCAGTCTGGGAATCGAACTCAGCCACCTCGAACATGGTCTTGCTGCGCCTTTACCGACTGAGCTAAGGAAAGGCCCCTTAGGTACGCCAATGGTTTTAACTCAAAAACGAAAAGAACTGGACAAATTTGATCCAAGAGTGAATTGTAGAAGATTGTGTGTTCTAAAAATCATCGGATAAGTAAAAATTACATTCCTACAATGAAAGAAAAAATCTGATCTTAACTATATTTGCTTAATTATCTACAAGTCGCCCACTCGTTGCATGTTTTGCACTTTTATATGAAAAAAAATCTACATTAAACAACTTTTTCTTGTCTGCACTGAAAAAAAAAAACTTAGCTTATGAATTTTCCCAGAACAGATGAGTTTCCCAGCATCCTCCCAAGTTTAAATAAATCATTGCTGGTGTGAAAAATACAAAAAATCTATGTCATAGCATTGTAGTATTGTTTGTATGTGTTTATGCGCTTGTTTGATTGATGGTTTTTATCATACGGGTCTTAAGCCCCCGATCGCGAGCCTACCCAGAAGACTCGACTGGCCCATGGGTTGTTTACTTTCAGCCCAAAAAGAAACCTTTGAATGTAATGCAAATTACTAATGATCTGACGAAGCGGTTCTCGGCCGTGACCGAAATCTCGAAGGTGAGGTACAATACACTTCGCGTTGTCGTCTGTAACCTGAAACAAGCTAACGAGATTGTTGCCTCCCAGCTCTTTACACTCGAGTATAGAGTGTACATCCCAGCTCGTAATGTGGAGATCGAAGGTGTGGTCACCGAAGCGAGCCTGACCCCGAGATCTTGACGAAGCAAGCGGTTGGCCGTTTCAAGAACCACTTGCTTCCCACGGTTGAGATACAAGAAGTCCAGAAGCTGGGCTCAGTATCTTTCAGCGAGGGTAAAAAGAGCTTTACCCCCCCAGGGACTCGTTTCGGGTGACCTTTTCTGGTTCAGCCCTTCCTCACTACATCGAGTTGGGAAAACTTTGGTTACCTGTGCGCTTGTTTGTTCCTCGGGTCATGAACTGCCAAAACTGTAAACAGTTGGGGCATACGGCCTCTAACAGTGGCAGCAAGGCACGCTGTACAAGGATGGCGCCTGCACAGTCACTGCACCAAAATGCGTGTACTGTAAGGGAACTCCTCATGATCTCTCGTCGTGCCCGGCGTACAAACAACGCGGGGAGAAACTACAACGCTGTGCAGCAATGCTAAAAACAGCCACACCATCAACCAACGACAAAAATCCCTTTGCTGTTTTGTCTGATGACGAGTCTGACTCTGACTTGGCTGAGGAGGGAGTTTCTTTCAGTTTTCCGGAAGGTTCTGCATGGAAACGAAAACGCATCCGTTCGCGGAAAGTTGCAGATAAGGAACCCCAAATCAGCTTGCCCAAATCAAGGAGTGGTGGAAAAAAGGAAGTTTCAACTCCTCCTGGTTTCCGCAGAACTGACTATAACCAGAATTTTTCATCTCTCCCGGGGACATCAAAGACCTCTGATGGCCCATTTTTAAGAACAGAAGCCCCTTCTTCATCTGGGTTGTTCTCATTTGATGATATTGTGGACGATATTCTCAAGTACCTCAATATTTCTGATCCTCTCAAAAGCATTGTTCTGGCAATGCTTCCTTCTATGAAGACCCTCTTGAAGCAATTGACATTGAAGTGGCCCCTCATTGCAGCAATCATTTCCTTCGATGGATAATTTTACAAACGAGGTCGGGGATTTGATCACTATTCTACAGTAGAATTGTCGAAGTCTTATTCCTAAATTAGATTCTTTTAAGTTTTTAGTTCACAATAATGATTGTGATGCATTTGCTCTTTGTGAAACTTGGCTCTCTCCAGATATCGATCTTCCTTTTTATGATTTTAACATTATTCGACTGGATCGTGAGGATTCGCGTAGAGGAGGGGTACTTTTGGGGATCAAAAAGTGCCATTCATTCTATATAGTGAATCTTCCACAATTTCCAGGTATTGAATTTGTCGCATGTCAGGCTATTATGCTTCTGTTTATATTCCTCCTAGAGCCGTTGTTAATCGAAAACAACTTTCAGATATCTGTTCGGTACTTCCTGCTCCACGGTTGATTATGGGAGATTTGAATTCCCACGGTACAGGCTGGGGGGAACTGTATGATGACAACCGTTCTACTTTGATATATGACCTCTGTGACAGCTTCAATATGACAATTCTTAACAATGGAGAAGTAACACGTTTGGCTGGCCCATCCTCGAATGGAAGTAGATTAGACCTCACACTTTGTTCTAACTCATTATCGTTGGATTGCACGTGGAATGTGATCCAAGTTCCCACGGTAGTTATCACTTGCCGATCAAAGTTTCAGTTGCCAGTGGGTTCAATCCGTCGGAACCTGTTAACGTCGCGTACGATCTTACCCGTAATATCGATTGGACAAAGCTCAAGAATGTGATAGAAGATGCCTTAACGTCGGTAGAAGGGCTTCCACCATTGGAGGAATATAACTTCCTCTCCAATCTGATCTTGGACAGCGCACTTCAAGCTCAAACTCGGCCGGTTCCAGGAACGTCTTTCCGTTGGAAACCTCCTTCCCCTTGGTGGGACCAGCAATGCGCTGAGGCTTATCGTAAAAAGTCCGACGCGTTTAAGCTTTCCGGAAACGTGGAACACCCGTACATTTCGAAGCGTACTCGGCTCTTGAACGCGAACTCAAGAGCCTCATCAAAGCCAAGAAACGCGGATACTGGCGGGAACTCGTGGACGGATTACCGCGCGAAACGTCGATGAATACGCTTTGGAATGCGGCGCGAAGGATGCGTAAACGGTCTTCAAACAACGAGAGCGAGGAATACTCGGATAGTTGGATTCTCAAGTTCGCGTGAAAAGTATGTCCTGATTCTGTGCCGGCACAGATGATTCCTCGCGAAACGACGAATTCGGTAGGCGAGATCAGCCAGCCTTTCCCTCACTCGCGCTCCTTTCGTGTGGCTATTCGGTTCCGGGGGCTGATAGAATCAAGTTCAAGTTCCCAGACGTCGCTAAGAGGTGCATGTTGAACTTGTTTGGTCAGTTCCTGCAGCTTAATATTGTTCCGGATGATTGAAGGCGGGTGAGAGTTGTAGCCATTAAAAGTTTGGAAAACCCGCGTCAGATTACAACTCGTATCGTTCCATTGCGATGTTATCGTGCATTCGAAAATTGTTGGAGAAAATGATCCTTTTTCGGCTGGAAAAATGGATTGAGATGAACCACCTACTCTCAGATACTCAATTTGGTTTCCGTAGGGGTAAGGGAACGAACGACTGTCTCGCGTTGCTTTCCACAGAAATTCAGTTGGCTTTTGCTAAAAAAGAGCAAATGGCTTCTGTATTCTTGGATATCAAGGGGGCTTTTGATTCAGTATCGGTTGAAGTCCTTTTAGACAAACTCCACGCGTGTGGCCTTTCTTCAATAATTAATAAATTTTTGTACAATTTGCTGTCAGAGAAACATATGAGCTTTTCTCATGGAAACTCTACAGCTTCACGATTTAGCTACATGGGTCTCCCCCAGGGCTCATGTTTAAGCCCCCTTTTGTATAATTTC